TCAGCAATCTCAAGTGGAGCAGTATCAAAATGTTGCTTCAGAATCTTGGTAATCTGAATCAGTGAGGAGTCTTTGGGTTTGTCTGGAGCAAGCAGATTGACCAGAGTAGAATAAACATTAGGTCCTACCTCTGCCAAAAAGATTGCTTTCCTTTTTTCTTCAAGGGCCTTCTTCTTCTGAGCATCACCACCGTCGCCCATTAATTCATTTGCCAGGAAGAAGAAGTCCATTCTCTCACAATATGATGTGAAGTTCTCCATGTCTGCATCATACTCCCCCACTCGTCCAATGTATCCACTGACGCCAGCCAATGGTTGCTCTCTTCACTCAAATTCTCCAGGTTCAGAGTAGCCTTCCCTTCAGTAGTCACTACCCTCTCTTCAAGGACTTCACCAACACTTTGTGAATCCCATCCTCGTCGCCAGTGTAATATCTTACATGATTGAATGGGAGAAGGAAAAGCCACATGCTGACTCTTACTCAGGTGGTTTATTGTTGTTGTTGTTGTCGTACAACGTGCCTAACACATTCGTGATTACACAGGCCTAAACACATTACAACTTTGGTAAGAAGTAACATAATATATATTGTAAGTAAATCACTGTGCGTGCACGTGATCCAGATAACTGACTACCACAGGGTGTACAGTCTGTACCCACCCCTGAAGATGTGAATTACACGAAAGCGCTTGGGAACTTCGTGTTTTCTTCTTTCCTTGCGGTTATCAGCATAATATATAATGTATATATAATCAATAAAGGCAGCATATAAACATACACATATATAAGATTCTTACCCTAAAATATCAACCAGACAAATCGGAAACACTCGAGGAAAATAACAGCAGAGCTTTGAGACTGATAATAACAGGGAGGCGATACTAGAACCACTATTTGGTCCTTGACAGAATCACAATAAGGAGAAACTGGAACCACTAATTTGTTCATGACAGGATGACAATAAGGAGACTGCTGACACAACTCAATTCTCAAGTACATGTTATGGAGATCAGCTGACAACATATATATTAAGTTTGTGGCTCAATGGATCGCTTGTGGACAAAGAACGTAAATAACCAGAATAACTAGAACTAGCTAATATATATCAATAACTGAGCCGTAACTAGCTTTACATAATCTATAACGATCATGGAAATCACCGAAATTTCTAAGACTGACTTACTAGTAACTAACAAACTAAAGAAATAGGATTAGGAACATCTCGTGTAATCTTGTATTAGTTAACTCACCCAGACGCCTAGAACTAATCTTAGGATATTTAGTACTGTACATATAGGGCAATTATTTACGTACTTTAGCCCATTGAATACGGTAACTTAACCT